TTTCCATTCAAAGTCGCCAGCGTCCTGGTCAATAGGCGGGCAGGTTTATGCGCCAAACTTTGGAGCAGCCTGGTGCACTCAGGGTCCTGATTTAAAGCGGCCCTGAGCACGAATCCCCGCAATTAGCTGAGAAATAAAAGAATGTATGCCCAAGGGCAAAAACTGGGGGTGAGGGGGGGAAGGGCGGGGCTTGTGGCCAGCTGCAGGAGAAGTCCACAAACTTGTTAGACTTCTTGCTCTCCACCCGACAGCGCACCAGGACTGAACTTGCCGGCGGTGCGCGGGCCAGAACCAGCTCTGTGCAGAGGAGACTGACAGACTGAAGGATGGCAGGGGGAGAGACCAGGAGAAGCAGCCACAAAGCCAGGGAACAGGGCGGGAAAGGTCAAGGCCAGAGAGTGAGGAGAGGCTCTAGGCTCCTTGCGCGCAGGTTTCGTACCAGCAGAGAGAGACCAGCTTTGTGACTCGCGGGATCTCCAGGTCTCTCCCCCGCCTGCCCGTTCCCCAGCCTGCACGTCTTGACCTTGTAGGGTCGGGGTCGCTTACCCAGCCAGAAGTGCAGGCGGTAGGTGAAGCCCCGGCTGCCCTTGACCGTGTGCAGCACCAGGTAGGCATCGCCCACGTAGAAGCTGCCATGGGCGCTCTCTGGCACCAGCACCAGCTCCAGCTTTTCCACCCTCCAGACCTGGAGCCCCGGTTGCCTGCCAGCGTTGGCGAACTCCTGGTGGTACAGCTCCTGGGCCATGGCTCCTGCTGGCGATGTGATGCTCAGGGCGCACACTCGGGGCCTTACTTCACCCAGCAGTAGGACTGAACAGACCCTGCTCCCCGCGACTTTATAGTGTTTTTCTGTCGGAGGCGGGGCCCCGAGACGGGAGGGGCTGAGGATCCCTGCGGGGTGTTACTTTCAAGTTCACATGCCCTGCCTTTGGTCCTCGGAGGAGGGGGACCAGCAGATAGCTTTAGAAATCAAGAGGGAACTTATAGGACCTCCTGGAAACTCTTACTCCAAAGAACATTTCTCCTAACAACAGTTAGAAATCAGTGATTAAAAAGACGATATTCGAGCTCTGGTGGCCTAGTGGCAAGAAGCTGCTCTCTAATCCCAGAGGTACGCGGTTCAAATCCACCAGATGCTCTGCTGGAGAAGGAAGGGCAATCTCCTCCTGTACAGTCAGATCCAATTTGATGGTACATACAATAAAATAAAAAAAAATTAAAAAGACGATATTCCAGTGGACTTAGGAATGACTTTTGTTTGTAACCTGGAAGATGATCTGTTCTTCTCAGAACTATCTGGGACATTAAAAACAAAACAAGTCTGTGAAATTGCCACAGCTAAACCTAGGAACTATCACAAATAAATGCAATGTAATATCCTGGATAAAGTTCTGAAGACAGATAAAGACACAAGGGAAAAACTAAAGAAAAAAAAAAGATAGTTCTGGGATGAAGGATATGGGAAAGAGCCGGTGTGAAAAGCAATGTATGCGAACTTTGTAAATAAACCAGAAGAAAAGAAAGAAGAGAAGAGAAGAGAAGAGAAGAGAAGAGAAGAGAAGAGAAGAGAAGAGAAGAGAAGAGTAGAGAAGAGAAGAGGGAAAGAAAAGAAAAGACATGATGCTGGTCAGTCCCAGTGTACACCCACTACCCCCTTTCTGCAATTTCCCCTGTTCTCCAGTTTATCACATCATTTCTGAGTCTCCAATGGATGGTCCTTAGAGACAAAGATGGTCAGACTTCATTTCACATATTTTGGACAGGCTGCCAGGAGGGACCAGTCCTTGGGAAAAGACATGATGTGGGGAAAGGTGGAGGTTCAGAGAGAGGAAGACTCTCACCTAGATGGACTGACAGTCTGACAACAAGCTACTGATTTTTCAATTTAAAATTTTCCTAAATGTTCATGTAACAGCAAATTTTTTTTACCATTTATGTACATTATTAAATTTTTTTTGTTACATTAAAAATACCGCTTTTGGGTGGAGGAAGATAGATTGACACAGTGTCTATTAACAATGGGCTTGAACATATCAGAGGAGATGAGAACCTCTCAGGATCTGTTGTTCACAGGGTAGTTATTAGCCTTAGTTGATGTGATGGCCCCTATCAGCAGCTTCATGGAGGGTGAGCAATGGTCTCTTTAGCTCCCTGTCAACTCAATGCTTCCATCGGAGGAATGGTAGCTGCTCTCCCTCTTACTAGAGTTTCTTTCTTAAAACAGGGTGTCCCCTGCAGACAGCTGCACCTGCGGTTAGTGCATCCCAAGCCAGAATCAAACCCCTGCCATCTAGCATGTTACAACTCACAGCGACCCTGTAGGACAGACAGCAGGACTGCCCCTAGGGCTTTAAAGTGTAACTCTTTTCAGAAACAGTCTTTGTCAGAAGAGTAGAGACTGGTGGTTTCCAACCACAGACCTTTTGGGTAGCTGCCAAGTGTCTTAACCACAGCGCCACTAGAGTTCCTTACTGGTTCCAGGAGACAATAAGTCATTTTTTTAAACAAAGTTTTTATTGGTTTGCATACAATCATTCATACACACTTTGTTCCATTTCACATGCCTTTTGTTTTATATAAGCATTCATATATACCGTATTTTATGTAATTAATTAGTTTTGGGTTATGCTTATTATCACCCCATCTTTTCAAATTCCTACTGAATCTTTCCCATTCCTTGACCACCAATCTAATCCGCCCACCAACTCTCCTATCCTAGTGATTTTCCCTTCCCTTTTTCTGTCCTCTTACGGCATAAAACCATTATTGTGAAAATGGAAGGGTAACTGAGCAAGATGTGTCATTGTTCAAAATGACACATCTTGTTCAAAAGGAGAAGTATATAGATATTTTTAATTGACTATTCTGATAACATCCTGGTGATCAAAGTCATCTTTTCCTAAACCACATCGTTCTTGGTGGCTGAAGTTTCTCTAATGTTTTCTGGTTTGATAATATGAAAAACAGCCCATTACGTTTCTCGAAGAGGATTAAAACCTTGCAGGCTGGCAGGCCTACCCAGGGGACAGGTTTCCAAATCCCAGGAGCTCCAGAGCTTGTGGTTACACTCTTGCCACCTGCTTCCTTTGCTTTGAGGTTACTGAAAAACAGCAGCCATCCTCCAAGGAAATGGGGTTGGTAGCTATAATTTTATGCACCATCTGTTTACTGAGTTACTGATTATCCAACTCCCAGGCACTAACATTTTCATCCCTCCCCACCCATACATTTTATTCTCCGTCTTTTTCCACCTGAAAAAAACTCGCTGTTTAATAGAGATGGAAATTTACTCTAGATTTTGCATTTCCTCATCTTTGAGCCCTATGGAGGTGGCTTTAAGTCAGAATCAACTTAGCTGCAGTGGTTTGATTTTTCTGGGTTAATTTAGGCTTGTTAATTTATTCTGTTAGTACAAAGTAAATTGTTATGGGTGCAAAAGCTTGAAAAAGTTATTTCTTTGCATACATATTTTCACTGTGTTATCCAAACTTTACAAGGTCAAGGAAGATAAAAAAATTATGCCCAATGAAGTGTTTTTCTTAAAGAAGTTGTGTTTTTAAGTAAGTATTGATAATTTTGGTGTCATGGATTGTATAGGGTCACATGTATGTGAAGATAAAATGTGGAAACTACATGAAGGTTCCTATGAGTGATTAGTAGTAGAAAGCAATGCTTCTTATTCCCAAATCAGTAAACGTAGTTTCCCTAGGGTGTAAGATAAATCGAGAGGGAAGGGAGCTGAGGAGGGCAGTGTGGTTGAAGGGAGCAGAGTGTCAGTACCAACCAAAATTGTTCCAAGTGGAATGCACCATGTGGTAGGAAGCTCTTTGACATCTAGGAAGTTCAGGACACATGGAGACCTCCATGGAATGTCTGGGCAATTACACAGGAGATTGCCCACCTTTCTTGCTCCTAGTGTTGGTGGATTCAAACCACATGCCTTTTGAGATGACATCACAACTCTTTACCACTAAGCCGTCAACACTTCCTACAAAGGCTGAAAGGAACAAGTCACTTCCTCCACAAACCCACAGAGAGAGAACTGGTCTTCCCTTAGAGCCAGCTTCCTGCATTTGGGCTTCTAATCTCCTAAACTGGCAGAGAATGAATTTCTGAGTTTCCACTTGCGTATCTCTGTTATAGCAGCAATAAATAAGACACGTGATAAAAAAATGTACAAATATAAAAGGTGTGCAATGAAAAGCTGTCTTGATTTTTATCCTGCCTGTCTTCCCACCACCCATCTGCTCTCTACATAAGCAATTAAGTGAGAACTTTCTTGTGGAATTTTTCCAGAGAGATAACCTCCGTTTATAAGAACATGGTTGAACAAGGTAAGAATGATCACATAAGTATTATACACATATATAGAGATCAGGAGAGACCTTCTAGAGCCACCTTGAAACTTCTCTGTCAAATTAAAGATATTCCTATATATGTAGAAATAAAATAAACACACACAGAGGTGCATCTTCTTACTGACCACATGGTTTTCTACCTTGTACCATAATCAATTGCAAATTTAAATTGGAATTTTTTCTAAATTTTGCGAATACAATATTACAAAGAGCACCTGTGAATTAAATTTCATTATGGCATGCATTATTAAAAGTCTGCTGATGAGTCAGCATCAACTCAGGGTAAAATTGACCCAAACCTTCTAGCAGGGTTTCCCCCCACTCTCACCCCCATTTGTTGTTTTATTTTTTCCATTATTTTATACTGATTTATTTACAAAGTTTGAATAAATTGTTTTTTTACAAAAGATCCATCCCATTTCTTTCGCCCCCCATCCATTGCATTGTGCAATCCTATGATTAACATTCCACCCCACCCCACACATCCTTAACCCTGTTTCCCGCCTCTCCCTTCCCCTTGTATGCTCATACTCATTCTACACTAATGGCTTTATGCAGTATTTGTCCTTGTAGAATTGAGTTAGTTCACTCACCATAATGCTCTCCAGTCCCTCTCAATTTAGGCAGTAATTTACAAATTCATTGCTCCTGAGTGCTGCATAATATTCCATTGTGTGAATGTACTACAACTTCTCAATCCATTCATTTGTGGTTGGACATCTGGGCTGTTTTCAAGTTTTCTTGTGGTGGTGAATAATGCTGCTATGAATATTGGTGCACATGTCTCTGTTTGAGACTCAGTTCTCATTTTCTTGGGTTGTATTCCAAGAATGGAATGGCTGGGTCATATGGAATTTCTATGTTAAGCTGTTTTTAGGAAGTGCCAAACTGCCTTGCAGAGTGGTTGCACCACTTTATAACCCCACTAACAATGTATAAGAGTTCCTATCTTGCCAAATTATCTCCAACATTTATTACTTGTTGTCCTGTTAAACTTTGTCACTGCTACTGGAGTGAGATTGTATCTCATTGTGGTCTTGATTTGCATTTCTCTTATTGCCAATGATTTGGAACATTTCTTCATATGTCTGTTAGCCATTTGAATATCTTCCTCCGTGAAAACTCTTACCATATTTTTTGTCTATTTTGTAATTGGGTTATCAGACTTTTTCTTGTGGAGGCCCAGGAGTGCTCTGTAAACTTTTGTTATGAGATTCTTGTCTGACATGGTACTGCCAATTGCTAGTTCCCAGTCAGTAAGTTTTCTTTTCACACTATTGGAAAAAGTTTTGGATGTTCACAGGGAATTAATCTTTAGAAGGTCCCATTGATCAATTTTATCCTTTTCAGATTGTGCATTTCTAGCTATATTTGCCAATCTCTTTATATCTTAGACTAGGCCTTCTAAGCTTGATCCCAGTTTGTCTCTTAGGAACTTTATTGTTTTGAGCTTTACTCTCAAGTCTCTGATCCACTCTGAGG